GGTCTAGTGGAGGGTGTCCCTGCCCATGGCAGGGGGGTTGGAACTTGATGATCTTTAAGGTCCTTTCCAACCCAAAACATTCTATGATTCTATGATATCCAACTTGTTTTCTGAAGCCCACATGCATAAGCACAGAGCACTTCAGGAAGGCCATTGAGTGCTGCAATGTGGATGCCAGCCTGAGAGTTCAGAAGAGCTTTTTGTAGTCCAGGAGTAACACCAGTGGCCAAGTAGCTGGAGAGGTGACAAAGAGAGAGCTGGACCTCAAACAGGAAGACCTAAATGAGACACTGACCTGAAAGGTGAAAGTAGGCCTCTCTTCATATCACCTCCCTGATCTCTGGCAGAGGGGGGAAGCTATTTACAATTTGCTGAGTATGTAAAATGCTTCTACCACATTGTTCTGCAAGACCACTCTGAGTGCCAGAGTCAGCCAGCACTCTTCCCCTTGGGAGAGCACATCTATGTGGGAGTCCTAACCATGCCGGGAATATATCCAGGTGGTGGAGCCTTCCTCCTGCCAGATGAGCAGTAGCAGGTAACACCCTTATGTAGTTTGAAGATATCTCTGTGAGGGAAGGAGAAGTCATGGATGAAAGCATGGCTCTAAAGAAGAGGCTGTGGAGATCTGATCCCAGAAGAGTAAGTTTGAGCCAAGGCTAGGATGTATGTGGAAAAGCAAAGTGTCAGGACTTGAAGTATGACTGTCAGAGCAATCATCCTTAGGAGCCCAGGCCTTTCAACCATAGGGAAGGATAACAGCTGGAAGGACTGTGCTTCATGAGACTTGAAGAGAGATTGTAATTTCTGTAAGAAGACTCAGAAGGAAAATAAAACCAAGTGATAGCAAGTTCACACTGTGGTGTTGGTATGTGCTGCAAAAGATGCATTACACATGCAAAGAAGGTAACAGAAAGGCTAAAGACTTTCTTGGCATAACTCCACCAAAAGCAAAGGAAATATCCCACCTAGCATATGGCTCCTTTGTTCTGAGCAGTCCCCACAGTAAGTTGAAGCTCATGTGCTTCTGTGTTTGATGGAAATAAACCTACATGGTTTCTGCAAATGAGGAGGGAGTGCCTAGAAATGTCATTGACACTCTGCAGTAGAATCTCAGGTGGAGTGTTTAATTGAGGGTTTTCAGTGCCTGAAAATTCAGAGACAAAGTTTGAATCACTGGGAATCCACATGAGGTAAGCCAGCATTAGAAGGATGCTCCTGCTTAGAAACCAAAAATATGCTGAATTTATGTAGTTTGGAGCAGGGGGTGAGGGGCAGTTTTTGGAACTGGCCCTCATGAGACAGGCATGCCTGCCCCACTGGTTAAACACTGACTCTGCATAGTCCTTCCTGGTTGTGGGAGACACAGTGTCTGAGACAAGGAGTAAATTCTGTCGCGAACTGCACATTGTACAAATCTGAGTATCCTGGCCATGCTGCTCAAACTAAAAATGCAGGTAGGTACTAAATATCTATTGCATGATGGGAGATCTGAACAAACTTTATGGGAAATAATTGTTTTCTGAACTCACAAAAAGCAGTGCATGTTCAGTTTGCCTTTGGGGACAGAGCTGGGAGGAGCTCCCTCCTCATCCTGTGCAATCATGCCTCTGCACTGTCTCTCCTTGGGACCCTCTTGCCTCAAAGTAATAGCAGCATTCCTTAAGGTGTATTTCACCTCTGCTGTCCTGGCTCATGCTTCAGCCCACAGGTAGTAGGTCATCTTTCTGTTTTTCTCTCCTTGTCTTTCCCTCGTGATAGTAGAAGGCCAGAAGGCAGGGAGAAACCAAAGATACCATGAAGATTCAGCTTTTTCAGAAGTTCTCTGACCTGAATGGACCAGTGGATTTTTTTTGTGCCACTCCTCACATGTACAGGCTGCAGAATTTCTCCCAGAAACTGGATTAAGGGTTTTTTTGCTCTCAAGACACTGCACATCAATTTGAATTTAAACTAGATCCCGTGCCAGGTGACTCTGTTAATGTTACTGGGTGACTGCTTCTAGAGATCCTCTTCCGAGGAGCGCATGGCCACATAGGACAAGAGGTAGGTGAAGAGCAGAGTCTTAGCCAGGTCCATTCAGCAGCCCGTCCAAATGCAGTTAGGCCTTGGAAAGATACACTGAGGTCCTTACTGGCTAAGTGACCCAGAACTAAATTGCATCTACCATGTACAGATTTTGCACATCCTGTAATCCATTCTATGTCTTTCCCTTCTGCTCTTGACATTGGTTTCCATGTGGGAAAAGTGCAAGAGCCTTCATAAAAACAAAATCTTTCCCTGTTAGAAACAGGATATTCCCTCCAAGAAAATGCACTTATGTGTGGGAGGCTTGAGGAATGGAAGAGGCAATGGCACCACGTTTCTCACCTCTCTTTCCAGGCACTGACAACAAATGTCCTTACAGCAAAGCAACATTCAAATTTCACTTGTATAAATCCACAGGGCTTATAAACTGCTTATTAAGTTCTCATTACGGATGCACTTCTCTCTTTTCATCCCCGCCAGACACAAGTGATCTCACATAGCCAGTTTATGTTGGACTGCTGACACTTTTGGAGCAACAGCTCCTTTTTGTTCACGGTGAAGAAGTAATTCAGCATGACAGACCCTGAATCTGACAAAATCTGAATCTGAGACCCTGAATCCAAGAAATTCGGGTGATGCCAAAAGCCATGAAACATGGATCAAGATTGACTCAAGAGCTTAAAATGTATAAAGAGACAAAGTAGAAGAGCAGATGCAAAAACAGTTCTCCATGCTTTTGGGCCTACTGTCTTGGGGAATTTACTTTGGGAGAAGATCTGCAGATGAGAATGTTATCCTACACTAAGTATGTATACCTCTAGGAATCGATCCTCAGTGCATTTTTTGAGTGAAGGAGAATAACCTGATTGATAACTATGTGATTCTGCCACCGACTCTTAGTGAAAATCAACTAGCTGGGTTCCTGGATTCCTAGAAGAAATCCAGGTAAAGTAGTTTGCTTTTCTAGTATCTGTGTTGACCTAACACCTGTTTTTTGTAGGCTCTTAGCTTGCAATGCTGACAGTCATCAAGTCTTATACTTACAATTATTAGTAAGATAAAGTAGATAAAATTGTAGAAGGAATGGGCATCCATCACGTAGTACATTATCTCCACCCACCCTTCCAGTGTGATCACCTGCAAAGACAAACAACGACAAGATAAATAGGAGGGAAGTGGGCTTCCAGAGCGCACTCCTCAGTGTACACAGGCAGATACTGGCAGGGTTGTTGCAACCCAAGGAGGGTGAGAAACAACAATTCATTTCAAGGAGGCCAAATCTCCATTCCAGGAAATCAGCGTGGTACTACTTGGTGACACTGGCATACTGTCAAAGCCTGTGAG